CAACGTACGAGGGCAACGGAGATAAAGACGCACTGGGAAAACCTTTCACTCGGTTTGGTGCCGCTCTGTCTGAACGCGGCTTAAGTCTTGGAGCAAACTAGTGTTTTCTAGCGCTGTACTCTGATCTTCCCCTTTTTGCTTCTTCTACTCATCTGGCATTCCATCTCACTTTGATCAAAGTTGGACAGTGAGCAATCGTCTCCCCTACGTCTCTTTCAAGGGATGGATTTATGATATGATTCGACTCGCTCAACCGCGAGGATTGCACTCGGGCGAGGGAGAAAATCTGATTCACACTTAAATTATCCTGAGCGAGTCATGTAATGACTTTTTACTTCTTCATCTGCTAGTACATACTTGGTTCATGTGTGGGGTGCTGTTGCAGTGATTATCAGATAAAAATTACTTTTTTTTCATCCTATACATAAATAAATATACAAATAATGGGCAAAAAAACATCTCAAAAATTTATGAACCTTAACACTGTGTGATCAACAATATTTGTAGATTACAAATCAATCTTACGCAAATTGACCGTATATTACGGTTGTTACTTCAACGGATGAGTATAAGTTATTTGTGATGCAAAGATAACACAAGATTTATTGAATAATTTTCACCATAGGATAGTACCAGAAATATTTTTGCTCTATAATAGTTTATGGTGTACATATGGTTTTTCTGAAATTTTGCTCGACACTATTAGAACAAACTTCCAAATTCTTCTTTTTTCCCTATGCACGTAAAAAGGAACAGAACCATAAATTCCGTCATCGTGGTTTTAAGTGAGCATAAAAGCTTAGAGTCGACCAGTTGTGGTGGTATAAAGGTACGACAATAAAGAAGCGGTTGAAGGGAAAAAGGAGCACATAGACGTTAAGATCTACCGTACTTGTGTGGTATAAGAAAAAAAGGGGGACAATGTCATCGTGATATCTCGGCCAAAGCCAAACTCATGGGTTCTGATAATGACAAGCTGGGCCGCAATATTGTCTTGTTTTTTGTTTACCAAGCAAACAAAGAGATGCTGTTTGCCGCTATGCAAACAGACAAAGAGTTAAAGAAAAGGCAAGAAAGACATCTTATGTGGGAATAGCAGCAGAAGAGGGTGTGTGATATATTGTTTGTGTGTATGTGTGTATGTGTTTGTGCTTACGTACAGCTGTAGTGCAGACAAAGATAGTATATGTCTATCGAGTGTCCCCGTGTATCTACGTATACGTAGTGTATGACCAGGTGAATGTTGCGCATAAGATAAAAGTATGTGCAATTTCAAAGAGGGATACAGTTAAGTTAATGGATGAGGGGGTTTTGCTCATTGCAGCAATACAATTACAAGCAATTAGTTATGGCTTTGGGGGGAATATGGTGTAACGACTGCTTTAGTGTTTTATCTTGCAACATGTACTATTATTTAATGTAATCCCTATGTTTATTTATGTGGCTTGAAGGGTGTCCATGATAATATTCAAAGTCTGGAATTTCTCCTCAAATAGCTTCTCTCTCAACTGTAATAGTAGTTTTCGTATCATGGGTGCAAAGCAAAAAATCTCACCTGAAGGGAACTGGCAATCAGGGGTAAGTGCAAACCTCAGCGACTCCGGATTCAATTGGTGCAGGTATACAAAATTTAAAGACTTCAGTGACCTTAGTTTGTTGCTTCATTCACCTGAGCTACTTAGTGCATGTGGTGGTAGGAGCTGGATCATTGAAGATACTTTATTTTCATACCTACTACAAGTTTATTAAAAAAAATTAATAAAGATTGTAGAAAATAGAACTAGAAAGTTTGAAATTTAAGAGTCAACGGATGAAAAAACTTGCTAGACGCTGTATTCGCTTCTCAAAGTATGATGCTAATAATAACAACGTCTATAAAATACTATAAAATTAACCATAAGTTTCAATGATTGTAAATTCTACAATGAGAAAATTAGCATAAATTTATAATTCGTTAAAATAATAACACTAAATCCTAATGCCATACAATTATTGTGTTGTTCTCATGCTTTTGGTTAGATTAAGCCTACTACGCTGTTTCAAGCACTGTTATAATCTGCATCCACTATTCCATCTCTTCCTCCTCCTTCTCCTCTTCCTATTCCATTTTCACCATATACGAATTCATACGCATCTCACGCTTACGGAATGCAGAAACTCACAACAAAGGTAAGCGTGTATACACACATCTCGAACGCAAATGATGATGGCACGCACTTCTTGTTCACTCCTCTACCTTACATACTATACCTACACTACAACGCAATATATAGTAACTAAACACTCCAGCTAGTTCAGACAGTTACTTGCTCTCTCGCACCCACGAGCGATAAGAGGCTCTTGGAAAATTTCACAAACGCTACTGCCAAAAGGAGATCAGGACGGGGACAACCAAATCTGCGTAACCCTCAATCAGCTATACTAATTGAATTTTATGATAAGTTCCATTTCCTTACAGTGTTTCATCCTACCTTTTGCAAGAGGTGTACTTGTGTGCTCTCTGTTAAAGAGCTTGGATTGTAAGTCTAGAATACTGTATAATGTATATAGAACAAAGGTGCAAAGAGAAGAATTGGTATTTATTTTTTTCAATAAGTTCCCTCATGATTTAGGAAAATAAAGAGTAGAACTCAGAAGGGAGGATAATAATCAGACTAAATACAGCAGGAAATTGTGCTACGCTATCTGTGCGTGTTCATTCACCTGAATCAGTGCGTCTCATCGTCGATCATAGCAGTGCTCCGATTCTTATGATGAAATGTGGATACTTATACATGAATAGAATTTAAATTCAATTCAAAGGTGTGTGCGATGACATTATTTTCGTTTTAGTATGTGAAAGAGTAATGTATTTGCTTTCAATTATAACTTCCATCATTATCGAAGCTGTCGGTTTCACCAGACACATTTCCTACTGTAGAACAAAGACAAATCTGGAAATCCGATTTTCAATAATTATTCTCCAGGTACATTTTAGTAAAAACTATATTTTTTCGTATGAACAGTACGATGGTTATTTACAGATAGAAAAGTACATGTATATACGTATGTATGGAAAATATAACGGAATAATCGTTTCCGTACTTTAATCAAAAAAAGTTGATCGCAGAGTTGATAAATGGATATTTGCATGAGAGAATGACGGGATACTTATAGACAAATACACGCTCAAGGATTTTTTCATCTAATCATCGATCTTTGAAACTCGATAGTCAGAGCCCGTATCCGTCTGTATGTACGTATAGCATGTGTCCGTATAATTGAAAAAAGGGTATGAACAGAGCGAAATCTGGTGCTACTGCGGGCGGATATTAAAAAATTGTGGCGATGGGTTATTAAATATAATAAATATTCTCTTTACTCCTTCCAGTAATGTCAAGTGACGAACAGCCGCGCCAGTTAGTAATAAAATTTTTTGTCCTATCACGAGGTAATCGATGAATTATTTTATTTTTACACTTCCTCAGTTCAACAAGAAACCGTTTGTAGTGTTCTACTGCTTATGTGATTGTATTTTTTGTACTACAAAACACTGTATGATGAATGAAATACAAAATTATACCCCACATATCAATACTTGAGTGAAAACAATACATAGAACTATAAAACGTAAGCTTAATATAAGTGCAACTTGTCAAAACTTTATAACAAGAAAGAGTTTGATATGATTTACGACCTAGCTGCAGCCGCTACTGTGATATACCTAAGTATCTATAGGTACAACAGCATCATCCATCAATAGCTCGTGTGTTTCAACGTATATACCAAAGCATTTGGCTGGTAAGTATATTATTTAATCCATGTAATGTAACTGTCGTCGTCAAACTTTATAGTTTGTTTCTCTCTCGACCTAATGTTATCAAAAATGAAAGTAGAACATAAATCTCAAAATTCACATAGATTGATGATTATTGCCAAGACGAGAGGGAACTAGTTAGAACGAGTGAGAGAGTACAAGCTAGTGAGAAGACTTGTGTATATGTCCCTTACTTATCTTAAAATCTAATTTGTGCCCACAGACAAAAAACACAGCTAAACAGGTGGGAAAAAATGATTTTAGAATTGATGTACACATCATCGACAAGCTCTCTCTTTCTCTTTCTTTCTGTGTATACCCTGGGTCTCGGCAATTGGCAGACTTGTTGTCTACCCATTTTGTATCGATTCGTGTCTAACTAGCGTCCTTTTATTCTCTGCAGCCCCTCCTTATTCTCTTGATTTTTTTCCTCCTACTTTTTGTGCTACCTGCAAACTTCCACTTTCGATTGTTCTCATTATTAACTGTCCCCGTACTTTCGCCCTCAACCCCATTATTTTCATTCTCTTCTTTTTACCATCGGAAATAACTGCCTCTCTCTTTCTCTTTCTCTTACTGGCTTGTAGTCGTGTTTCACTTAGTCGTTTTAACTTTTTTCATTCACCTTTTATTTCGTAGCTCCTCTGTAATTCCTCGATTATTAATTCTCTGGGTGTTTCATTTCTTTCTTATTTTTATTTTCAAGTATACGCCTTCACCAAAACAATAACGACTTCTTGACGATTTAATTAGATTTGATATTCTACTGTTCGATGGTTGTTGTAAGTTGTCGGATTCAATTAAAAAAGCTTCGATATCAAATGAAGGACTTGTTCTTTTAAATAATTGTCTAGAATCTGAATGACATTTTTTCGCAGTAATGGTGTACATCATGTGTGTTGTAGGTAACGTTGGTAAAAAAAAATCGTTACTTTCTCATGTAATATTTGCAATCTACAAAAGACAATTTATTGACGAGATCTCATGTTCTAGTATCAAATGTACCCTTGATAAAAATTACTTGAATTCTTAATAAGTATGGAGTAAAATAAAAAAGTTCTGACACAAGCATGCATAACAATTGAGTTACAATTAACCTGTAACTTTGTTTTGACAGGTATAAGATCAATTCGATTTTCTTCTAACTGCAAAATATATTTATATTCATATCTATGCAATAAAACACGTATGTATAGGTACTCACCGACAGAGGTGCACCACTCGCCCTGGAGGGAATTCCCGGTCAGCTGTATGACGGCCATGGAGATATCTCCGAGCATGAGGCAGGCGACGTGGTACGTCTGGCAGCGCCAGTGGAGAACGTGATGAGAGGCGGGCAACAACCAGCCGGCCGCCAACGTCGCGGCCAAGAATATTGCGCTTATTATGAAGCCAATCGGGTATAGGGTGAAACGTATGTCTCGCTTGGCTCTGTAACATAAGAAAAAACAAATGTGTATCAGTTTTTTGCTTTTCTTCTTCAACCATGTTAGTTGTGTTTGTAGCACGACGTGCTAAACTTTTAACATTCATGATGTTTTTGCTGGTATGCTTTTATAAGTGCGTTACAGGGATCTAAGAATAAGGAAATCAAATCGAGTTGCTCCTTTTATTTATAATGGAATAATTAAACTCGTTTGTTAAATATTGGTTCTGAGCCAGTTTAGGTTAAATCATGCATTAAAAAATATAATTGTGAAGTATAAATTTTTTATTAAACCTTTTTCCCACTGATATCAACTTGGACAATAGACCACGTGATGAGACTTGATCACGAGTTGAAAGTATACTGGTTTTCAATCAAAGAAATACATCCAGATGATTAAAAAGATAACCAAGTTTTATTAGGTAGGAAAGAAAATATCGCTCATAGGTCGTGACATCGAATCATTAGTTGACTACTTAATTTTTTCTGAATCCAAAGTTCGTGATAGCAATCTAAAATGACGCTTCTTAAAAGTATTATCTTTTCCGCTGTTCAAAGGCTTTGGCTAAGATTTTTCTAGTTAAACTCCACTTATTCTTCTTACGTATTTATAATTGTTATCACCATATGGATTTATTTTCGTGTTATTTTTTTATCTACTTAATTACGTTCGGGGGAGCCCACTGCGTTGTTTCGAAGGAGAGGATAAGAGGAAGGAAAATTTGAGCCTCCAGTTATTATGGCCGTTGGTGAAAGCACCATGAGAAAGTGGATTTTCAAAGAGTAGTAGGAGCAGAAAGCTATAGGTGAAAGTGATACTCCCCTTCGATCCGCCAAGTGATGAGGCGTCTGATGCTGTGCTATGTTATACTTTAAGATAGTTTGTGTATATATCATGTACCACTGGCGTGTGTTTTGGTATATTCCCTTCTCGGGAGTGTTGATTTCCCATAGTAATACTAACACGACCAGCACAGCTTCGTTGGAAGGTGTGTACTGCTTTCTCAACATAAGGTGGCAACAGATCGTTTTAAAGATGTAAAAAACTTACAGTATTATTATATACCTATACCAAGAACAGATATCTTGGTTGTTGTACAAGAATAATAGTTTCATTTTATATCCAAAAAAATTTATTGGATTTTTGGCTTATAAAATGGTAGGACGTTTTAAAAACTTACGTAATGTTACGTTTTATGGTTCGTTGTGGCTCAACAGAAATGCGATGACCAAAGTTTTTACAATGAAAAGGAAAAACAAAGTACATACAAGGTGTGAAAAGTCGGAAAAAAGTGAGTTAAGAAGTCTCTATTAGTTTAAAACAATCATATTTGAACTTAATCTTGATTGTGTTCCTGATTAATTTCGGATGTACATTGTTACCATGAATCATGGAATGGAGACGTCTTAGTCTTTGTACCTATGCGGCCCAGTGTACAATTATCCAAGATCTTCATCAGAGACTCCAAGACATAGAAGTCTTCCAGGAGTTTCAAAATTAATAAATGTACACCACTCTCAAGAGTCTGTGATAACTGGGTTGACTTATTCGCCCAGGTATTTGCCTTACAACCATAGATTGGCAAATTTTAAAAGATTAAGTATTGTCAAAAATGTTAAGTTAGTTCTACAGGAATTTGATGAATTTACATATAAAAGACCAATCAAAGATAAGCTATTCTCCAGCAGACGTAACGTAGTGGCAAGGTTGTTTAAAATTTACTATAACATTTAATCAAGTTTTATGTAAGAAAAGAAGAGCTAGTCTTCATTTCAGTGATGTAAAAATGTGTATCTACGTGACCATGGGAGTTCGAGTAAAATATCCATGATCCTCCTCATGTATTTCTTTCGGTTATTATTTCGAGGTACGGTGTGCTGGATTTTTCTCTTAAAGTAAACACAGTATTTTTTAATTCTTTTGATAAACTACAGAAAGTGTAACCTACTTGAGCGTTTATGCTCTCATATACTTTGTTCTTAGTGCACACATTGTAAAAAATTTTTAGTCGTCAATCCATTAACACACCTACATTCGAACATTCCAGTCATTTTTAAACTAACATTGCTGGTGTAAGGATCAACGCTACCAATACTTCTTGCATTGAAAATAAAGTGAGAAAGTAAGAAGGAAAAGGAGAGAGAACAAAAAGAAAAACGAGCTCACGTGTATCCGTGTGGATGGGACAAGTAGGTCAACCTGTATAATGATGTACGGCTTAAGGATATGCTTGTTGGTTTTACCCGTATAATTATGTGTATGATGTTTTTTTCAAATGTTTATTACCTTTTTATCTTTGACTCACGCAAAAAAAATTACACATGTTGTGCAGCGCGCGATTGGCTTGCTGTTTCGGTTCACAGTTGACGCTTACTACCAATATATTATATGAAAGAAGCCGGTGCATACGAAAGCTAACTCTTCGTTTTGTGCGATCCGATTTATTGTCACGCTTGTACTTACATATGTTAAGGACTTAAGGAATGGGCTTCGACGACGATATATACGGTTTGGAATAAATGGATAGGTACGAAGATAGGGATGTATTATGTCATTAAAATTGTTGAAAATTACGTCGAGCCATTAATTATCCTTTCTTATGCGTGAAAGGTAATGAAATATGATAAGATAATAAGTAAATTTTACGAACTTTACATTAATTATATTGTGGTAACAAAAGGTAATGTGGTGAAATCTTTCGCCTAGTAGACATCATTCATTTTTCTATAAGATTGTGTGTACTGAAACAATTTCTACTCACAATCATTTTAAAAGAAACGACAGATAGATTTATTACACATTTAAACACGACGGTTCAATCAATTTCTATGACCAGTAATAGTTAAAGTCCATAATTATATTTGTATATTTGTGCTCATACAGTTTGCATTTTAAGGTTGTATTAAGTTTGTTGTATTCAATCAATGTGTTTAAAAGAATTAAACAGACTACAGGCAGAAATTTTGTGTCAACATGATGATAACGAGGACGACTACCTTTGCATGTTGATTGTGCTCGTTCATGAGTCATGTTTATCAATATCCATATATTTTGTAATGAAAGAGGTACAAAAGTTAAAAGATTGACCATCGATGCAAGGCTGCATCAATGCTGACTCTAAATGTCATTTGACAATGTTGTTAACATTCTCAGATAAATGCTATTTATAAAGTTATTTTCAATATAGTCTAGTGAAAACCATACACCGAAAGAAAAATAAGATGTTTAGGCACCATTTGTAGATACTATTATAAAACAAAACCAATCCCAAACAAAATGTGACCTACGACGGACTTGCGTCATCGAATCCACACAAAATAAATTTTTACTGAAAAAACGAGATTTTTGGAGCCATACAACAAGTCAATCTTTTAGGAAAAGAGAAATGAAAGTGTCAACAAACAAAACAAGATACAAACCATTGGTATGGATAATGGAGTTCTTACTGTATTGAGCACCGAACACGTGAATCAGAGGGAAAAAGAAAGAGGTACAGTATGCTGTGAGCGTTGTACCAAAAAGTTAATAAAACTGAAGGCCTATAACCTTGCCAGTTGCATCGTGTTCACACATACTCAGGTTGGAGGAGTCGACGGCCTCTTGTGGTTGAATCACAAATAATCGGCTTGAGAAAAAAAGCACCTCGAATCAAGAGTCGTGGCGAGTGTCGATCGATTTGCATCGAAGAACGTGCCAGAGCCAAAATAAAAAAAAGCTAGAAGATGAAGAGAGCGTGCTGAATTTTTTTGGAAATGTCCAGCCGTAACTAAGCTAAACAATGTCATGAATATCAAAAAGCATAGATGTAAGTAAGACTCGTAAAAAATTGTTGGTAGAGTTGTTCGAGAATCAAGTTTGGCTTTATTTTCAACACCAACAACTGTTGAACTAAAGATTTATGACTCTAGAATATGTACATCCAGTGTAGATCATAGACCCGTAAGGTTCACAAAACAATCGAGCATGTTTTGAAGATGTTTTGTAATGAAAAACAAAAAAAAACGAGACAGTCATCCTGACGAAACATAATATCTAAAACACTTTCTAACTAGATGTAATGTATCCGAATATATATCTGGGCTAACCCTCAGAAAAAGTAAAAGTAAACCAGATTCTTATGCGGGCAGCGGGAGTCCAGTTTCCAACACATACTTCCTTCACTTGCACACAAGCTAGCCATACACATAGTATATATGTATATATATACTCTTCTTGGTGCTGCTCTGTATATCCCCATTGTGTCGGCTTCTCTCAACAACTGCTCCTCGACGTGCAGCCAAGCGTACGAAAACAAGAAAGAAGAAAGAAAAGAGGGAGAGAGAGAGAGAGAGAGAGAGAGAGAGAGAGAGAGAAAGAGCGGGTGAGTGAAAAGGCGAAAAACAGGTTGCGAGCTATAATTTTATTCTCAATCGGCTGGCCAGTTGGCAGAATAAAATCAGTGCAACAAAAGCGAGTAAATGTATATATACATCCATAAGAAGCCACGAACAGTTTAAAGAGAGCACGACACGGAGCTCGGATGGATCCTCCAATCGTGTATAAACGCCTGTATGTACCATCACCGTTGCTAGCACAGCAGAGAGAGGCTGTGGCATAGAGGCGAAATAAGAGCCGTCGTTCCGATCGTTAAACTCTACGCGCGCACGAAGCGGAACCTTGTAAAAATACCAAAGGTAGTAATCGTTCTCTCTCCTTACGACTCCTTCGTGTTCTTTTTTTTCTGTTCTCTGAAACAGCCACATCGAGAAAAAAATTATCTACTTGGTTTAGGTGGAGGGATTTGGAGAAGGACACGGATGAATCGGAAGTGCCTCATGATCCGAACTTTACCTCGTCATTTAATGAAAAAATGAGAAAGCTCCTCTCTGTGGATTCATTTTTAATACGTATTACTAGTAATTTGGCTGGAAAAATGGGCTCTTTGCTTAAATATTGCCTACATTTTTTATTCTAGGCGGTTTACTTTACGTGGATTCCCTTTAAAAATTTCAATCCAAGAGTTTTGTTATCTTTCGCGTACATTTGCACTCGTACATGTAGTTGCCCGTAATTTTTTCATATGCAGTTGGTATTACTAAAGGTACATTTAGCATTAGTGTAGGTACGTTGCTGTGGTGACCATAGTTTCGAAAATGTCAACAAAAAATTTCATCAGATACAATCAAAAGTTACTTGCTAAGGGATCGAGTACATTTATTACGTAGTTGAGTTAACACGTATGTACGTGTATGAGCGAGTGTGGGCAGGTAATATTTTTATGTATGTAATTTTTCATTGCCCGCATGGATAAAAGAGTTAAAGATAAGAAGAAAGAATCAAAATTATGGTTGAATACGAGTGGACAACATAAGTTTTTGTTCCCTAATCTTGCGATATATGACATCAACAGGTTTTTTCGTATTTGCACACGCAGTTAGTGTTTGCTTCTATACTGAGGGTATGTGGCAAAAAAAGTGAATTTTCAACTCCAAGAAAAAACTAGAAGCTTTCATTTTGTCCCGTTCCTCAAGTATGTTGTCGTAAATTATACGATGGGTGAAAAAAAGGAGTAAAAATTTACATCTATTACGCCACGATAACTATTACAGAGTTGAAGTAAAAAATTTCTGATATAATTATTGTTTGTGCACTGCATTTCTGTGTTATTATACGATTATGCAAAATCCATGCATATTTTATACGGCTACTTCTACTTAATTAGAGCTTCGGAATAAATTAACATACGAACTGTCATAAGTATGAATAACTCTTGCATATCGAAAGAAAAAAAGCAACCTTGGGCTACAAAAACGACATAATACTTAATAAGTATAACCAAACATATAACACGAGAAACTTCTGCTGAGAAATGCATACTGAATGACTAGTTATTTAATATTCTGCATTACACTAATTTTGTTACGGTTAATCCAAAAAGACGATCTCATTTTAAATACTGTAAGACATGACATTGAAGAGCAACGGGAGAAGAGGGTCAAGAGATAGAAGCTTATAAGTGCCAATTGAAATTCGTACATAATTGTTGATAAGTTCTAGCTTCAAGTTTGTGAATTAATGAATAAACATTCTTTACCAGTGAGCAGTTAAGTAAATTATCAAAAATTGCGGGCTTAAAAGTTTAAAAATTGGAAAATGACAGAAATTCATGAGCTAATTTTTTGAATAAAGTAATTCAGTCTTGCTTTTGACAATGAAACTGCTTTTAAAGAGTGCTCCAGACTCTGTCATTTTGATTACATCCTATGAATCCAGATACAGCTCTAACCTCATACCATTCCTTTCTCATTTATTTAATCTGAAGGGGAATAGTGGGACAAGGACGCTTAGAAAACTTTTCCACTATAGACTCGACTTATGCTTCTTATCCTTTTCTAGGGTCTCCAGTATCACCTCAGCGTAAAACATATCTCAATGGAATAACAGAAATCCATAAACTAGTATCTACAACTAATCTTAACGATGTAACGCGGCGTACATTCTGAACAATAATACTCTTAGTCTTTGATCCGGAGAAGCGAAATCGGAAAAAAAGTTTTTGAAAGTTTGAACTGAGGCTTTAGGGAATCAATAGAAGAGTACATCATTTTTACAATTGAACCATCAATTTTCTGTGAGTGCCATATATTATTAGAAGATCAAAAAGTGTAACACTCTCAAATACCTAGTAGCTACCAAGTTACAAAAAATATCCATCTAAATGAGAGGCTGGTCCAAGATATTTGCATAATATATCCACGGATGGATGTACGTACATAATCAAGAAGACAAACTAAGTCAAATAATTTATATCTAATTAGACTCAAATTTGGTGAGTATCTTTATGCTTATAATAGATTACTAATTGATAGTTTACATAGAAGAGGCATCTTTAAGGGGTATTATCATAGAGAAAAATAATGACTATTACTACTAAGTTTTCACTGTGGACAAAATTGTATCTTCACAAATTAAACATTTTAAGCTAATATCTTTCGAGAAAAAGTTATGGATATTCAAACAAAACTTTATTTACAGTACATTTTTCTCAAACCTATATCAAGTTTTACGATGGCAACAAAAAAAAATGCAATTTAAAAACTATGAAATACATATTGCTTTAGCTTCAACATTGTCAAGTAGCATAGTTTCAATTTCAACTCTATTCCGTCAATTCTTGGAAAGTAAAAGCGTGATTCTTAAAGCATAAAATCGTCATACCTAGCACAAAATGAAAAAAACCATAAGAATTTTGAGACAGAATAATATTTTGAGTAAAAAAGTATAGTAACTCACTCTTTATTTGCGTGTTCAGAGCAGGTAAAGATTTTTAGGGCCAAACTTTTGCTGTCCACATCCTCGATACGCTCGACGCAAAACTCTTCGGCTGGCAATATCTGCCCATCGATGAGTATACTGGCATCAGCTTGAAGATCCGCTTTTTCATAGTCGCTGAAAATCGTTAAGTTGTCGGAGTTGGAGCAGGACGGAAAACCAGTCCCGATTTCCACTACGTCCATAAATTTGGGTGCAAGAAGCATGTTCTCTTCCTCGTGTAGCAGCATAGCCTCGGCATCTATTTCTTTGCAGGCGTTACTAAAACATTCAAAAAAAGAAAAACTTAAATAGTAGATTTTTCTGTCAAATTGGGAAGCATTTGTGATTACAAATGGAATCTACATGTATTGATTATCATGGATAATAGTTATTATCAAAATAGCTATTGAGGAACAGTTGTCATCATATTGTATTCTGTAACTATCATTAATTGAAAGACTTAGTTGATTTATACATTATAAATTATGTAATTCTTATGATGTTTCATATTTATTATTAAGTTTATCATGATGATAGAGTTAAAGTCCTCCATGAACTTACAATTACGCTGAGTTAGTACTCTATTGAATTATAAATATTTTGACTTCAATAAATCAAAAAATACAATCGTCCTCTTAGTTGTACATAGCAACTTTACTGTCAATCAGTGTGTGATGTTTCCTCTGTGAAAATTGATCCTTTCAGATTGCTAATAACAATACAAATTTTTGTTTTCACGATAAGTACCAACAATTTACATGACTCAAACTCACAGATGTGTAAACACTTACAACTCCAGAGGTGCGATACGTGTATTTCTTTTTGTAGAAAGGGTAGTTCTTATAAGATGTACAGTGTTCTAAATTAACTTTTTCGTGATATATTTCCAAGCAATCACTAGTTTTGAATACCTAATGGCCGATCATATTTTACGTGGTATAGGAATTCAACTGGAAAAACTTACATATATTTCTATAAAAAAGAAGTGCACATGATGTGTTTCTAAAGTTGTAAGTATTTCCCCATTTGTATGATTGATTCATAAAATAGTTAATTGAAACATATATTGAAATAAACAAAGTTTTGTATTGTTATTAGTAGTCTAAAGTGGTTAGCTTTGATCAACGAAATGTCACTCAATATTTAACCACAAAGGTGCTATATGACACTGAAAGAACTTTTTTGTTTTTGGTTTATTAAAATTAGATTATTTTTGTCTCAGTGGAAAAAAATAATTTTGTACAGGCACTANAAGATTTTTAGGGCCAAACTTTTGCTGTCCACATCCTCGATACGCTCGACGCAAAACTCTTCGGCTGGCAATATCTGCCCATCGATGAGTATACTGGCATCAGCTTGAAGATCCGCTTTTTCATAGTCGCTGAAAATCGTTAAGTTGTCGGAGTTGGAGCAGGACGGAAAACCAGTCCCGATTTCCACTACGTCCATAAATTTGGGTGCAAGAAGCATGTTCTCTTCCTCGTGTAGCAGCATAGCCTCGGCATCTATTTCTTTGCAGGCGTTACTAAAACATTCAAAAAAAGAAAAACTTAAATAGTAGATTTTTCTGTCAAATTGGGAAGCATTTGTGATTACAAATGGAATCTACATGTATTGATTATCATGGATAATAGTTATTATCAAAATAGCTATTGAGGAACAGTTGTCATCATATTGTATTCTGTAACTATCATTAATTGAAAGACTTAGTTGATTTATACATTATAAATTATGTAATTCTTATGATGTTTCATATTTATTATTAAGTTTATCATGATGATAGAGTTAAAGTCCTCCATGAACTTACAATTACGCTGAGTTAGTACTCTATTGAATTATAAATATTTTGACTTCAATAAATCAAAAAATACAATCGTCCTCTTAGTTGTACATAGCAACTTTACTGTCAATCAGTGTGTGATGTTTCCTCTGTGAAAATTGATCCTTTCAGATTGCTAATAACAATACAAATTTTTGTTTTCACGATAAGTACCAACAATTTACATGACTCAAACTCACAGATGTGTAAACACTTACAACTCCAGAGGTGCGATACGTGTATTTCTTTTTGTAGAAAGGGTAGTTCTTATAAGATGTACAGTGTTCTAAATTAACTTTTTCGTGATATATTTCCAAGCAATCACTAGTTTTGAATACCTAATGGCCGATCATATTTTACGTGGTATAGGAATTCAACTGGAAAAACTTACATATATTTCTATAAAAAAGAAGTGCACATGATGTGTTTCTAAAGTTGTAAGTATTTCCCCATTTGTATGATTGATTCATAAAATAGTTAATTGAAACATATATTGAAATAAACAAAGTTTTGTATTGTTATTAGTAGTCTAAAGTGGTTAGCTTTGATCAACGAAATGTCACTCAATATTTAACCACAAAGGTGCTATATGACACTGAAAGAACTTTTTTGTTTTTGGTTTATTAAAATTAGATTATTTTTGTCTCAGTGGAAAAAAATAATTTTGTACAGTCACTAATTATGCATCTTCTTAACTTTCTATCTAAACAAGTGAGAGAAGTAATGACGAAAAGTTAAGTGTGAGAGCATGATTTATCGATATCGCGTCAACGCTGTTCCGTTTCCATCCACTAGTTGTCAGAAAGCTCGTAAAAAGTGATTCTGACTTTCTCCCGTAATTTTGATTGAATAATAATAAATTACAAGTAAGGTTTGTGCCTAGATACACACTATGCTTAAATTATATTGTACATCCTGATAAACTATATAACTGTTTCATCTGCGTAGTTGAGCTTTTTGGTTTTGAATTTTGAAAAGAAATTCAGTTTTATGAGTTGATCAGTCAAATGTATACGGACGTATACATTTTTTAGTCCTATACTTAAATATTTTGATGATAGTTTTTATGTAGTTAGGTATTTTTTGAAAACAAAATTTTAGTAGAAATTCAAGGAATTTAATTTTTTAAATATTTTTATTTAAAATTTTTGTTGAAATTTAATCCTGTTTTGATTTCTTTGCAAAGAAAATTATAAGTTAATGTTCTTTTGTACGTAGAGCTTGAACAAACAAACAGTAGCAACAAATTTTGGCAAATAATTTTATCCGATTTATTATCTTTCGAAACAAAATTTGTATATAACTATTTAACATAATTATAATCAGTTAATGACATACTGATATCAAATATGTGCTATCAGCGTGTATGATGCTGATAAGAATACAAATTAACCAAAACATTAAAAAATACATCTTTACTCCGTTTGGATCGTTTACTAAAAATATCTTTTTTACACGATACTACTAAATTTTTAGTATACGTTTTAGATGGAAACAATTGCAATAATAATAGTTGTTTGTATTTGATCTTATGGGCACTTGGTATTAAGAAAACCAAATCAACACCTTCATCTTTTACATGATTAATTTTTTACGACAACTGAAATATACTTCCATAAATTAATAGCTGATTTATTATGTACATCTAATAATATCAAGAAAGTTACAGCTTATTAGTAACCACTAATACTTCTTACTTTTAAGTATTAATCGTACAAAAATTTGGTAGGATGATAAAAAGAAATGTGCTATATACAGTACACATACTCGATACCCCATGACATTCTTAATTAACGTTTGGTATAACGTAGGTATAACGTGTAAGAATCAGACAGCATATGTCAAGGGTGAAAGAGAAAATGTATGGAGTCTCTGTTAATCGCTCGATCTTAGTTCTCCAACGAATGTGCCATAAATTTAATCCCCTATCCCTTCAAGGCATCCTCTTTTCGAGGAAAAAGGGCCCATCTTATAATTGATAGTTAGATGAGGTAAGTAAACACATACCTAACGTAGACAGCACTGGGACCACAGCACTTGAGCATCTTGGGCAGCATTGTCACGGCATCCTGTCTGCCCTCCTCTCTCCTGGGCATGCAGGCGAGCAGCGACTTGGTGCCAAAGCAATACTCCTCGGGCCTGAATATCGTACCAATGCCACCTTCGAGAGCCACGTTGCCGTCGTCGAAGAGCACGTACGCGCTATGCTGGCTCTGAGGTACGTACCGGATCACCTGATCCTCGGAGCACTCGGGCAGCCGGCCATGGACCGTCCTCCAGTCGTCCGGATACTGGTGGAGGAAGCCACGGGTACTTGGCGAGTAGATCAGTGGCTGGTGCACCTCGGAGCTCAGGATGCACTGTGCCATGACTGGCTCGTTGCCGTGATCTCGTGCTCGCTGCTCGTCCAAGTCCATGCCCTCTGGACAGCAGTGCAGGATGGTCAAGGTCAGTGGCTCCTCGGGCACTTCGCTGCCGACGATGCCTTGGCTGGCATTGGCTTCGATAGCAAGGGTATGACTGTCATGCAGTGCCAGCAATGCGAGTAGCAATAGGTTGCGGCATATTAGCCTGGGAAAAGGGGCGAATTTCATTGCAATGGTTTGTCCACTCATGATGTGCGCCAAATGTGTGCTAGCACCCTTGATTTATGTTCCCTTAAAACATCGATCTTGCGAGTGAGGACACTTTACTTTTGAATTCTTGGCATCGCAGGGATAAGTTTCATTTGACTTAATAAATAATTCAGCTGTTGATTTTATTGCACTTGCACTTTCACTCCCGAACATGTACGAACCTATTGACTGCCAGCTACTTTTCACCGACCTGTCACTCGATACAAGATCGTATGAATGACCAATGTCAACAGCAGCCGCTTTACCGAACCGATTTTTCCCACAAAAACACAGAAAATTTCTTCTACCTCCCTCGGAGCGTCAAGGAGAGAGGAAAGTTCATTCACTCACAACTGCACTCTTCGTAGCGTTTACACAAGTAAAAAATCGTCCTTGTAAACGATTTTTAGGCTACGTATGGAGGTGTGAGCTTTTTTATTTCTACACTACATTCTCGCAGTGATCGGCAACATCCTGTTTTATGATTAAATCGTGAGTTTGTAAAAAACGTATGAAAAGCTCGAGAAAACGAGGAATTGCAAGCGCAAAGCACGACGAGTCACAACCCTCTCGCCTCGACGGTTTCGGCGATACTGAGCGCGTTCAAATACAGCGGCTTCGGAGCTTTGGAGTCGAGTCGTGCGAGCCACGCGGAACGGAACGCCGGCGTGCTTCGCTTCTGCTGGTTTTGTTTGCGATGGTGCGCGCGCAGCGTTTTCCTAGTGTCTGATCTTGCAATAGTATACCTGTAGGATTGTAAGGTGTAGCTATACAGAGTTGTATACCTATACTTGCCTCTGCCCGCAAATTCCTTTCTCTTCCCCCTTGTTTTCTCTCTCCCTCTCTCTTTTATACGAGTGAATGTCTCCCACTACACGTATACACCATACTCTGTAAGATAATTTCTTTTTACTGTTAAATGCGTTTCATACATTTGTTTTTATTTGTTGTGATTTTAATTTTTTAGTAATTTTAGATAATTTACATTTGGATTTGTCAAATCTGTGCTTTCATCGGTTGATTGTCTTTGAAATTCAGATTCAGCGAGACTTTTTTTCTTTCATCTTATCTAACTACCGTACCTTTAGTTCCCCTAACGTGACCTAATATCGGAAAACTAAAGTCTTCACTCTATATGTTATATTTTTAATCTTTTGATTTCTAATTTATTTTGTGTAGGTCTGTGATTAGGTTTAGGTCGTTTGGGGAACACATAGAGTTTAGTGTTATACTTTGATTGTAATTAAAAACATCCACCTATCAAATTATTATTATTTTTTTTTAAATCAATTAGTTTTATGATCGAATTTCTTATTACTACTACTTCATTTTTATTTTACCATTCTGAACGTATATTTTATTTTTAGATTGTAATCTTCTGCTTTGAGGACATACTTCATCATATGTACCTATTATTATTTTGTTGTGTACTTGGTACATGCTTGGTAATTACGTATAAGCCACAAGTCCTTAGTTTTAGTTTTTTGACTCTTTTTATAACGTGTTTATCATCTCCTTTTTCTCTTTTAACGCCAACATCCTTATAGTTTTTAAACCAACGCCAAACCACTTTCTCGTTAGAAAAGGCATGGAGTGCAAGGTAGGTAGGGTGCGCTTTTACAATTCGAAGGAGCATAAATTTTTCTTCAGTCGTCGTGCGGCACAGTGTACTTTAGTCGACGACTTTTTTGATGTTAATTACCGAAAGTATGCATACAAGTACATTTTTGAGTAAGCATGTAGTTAGGTTGTCGTTTTTAAAGTTAAAATTTATTGTATTTCCTTTTTCTTCCATAGCTTTATTAAAATATGTATTAAGAGATCGACTCGTCTTTCAGACAAAAGGAAAATCTACATTGTTTGTTAGAGTCTTGTTTTTTACTTGCTTAGCTACGTACTATTTTGTTTTAAAGCTTCTCAAAAATATGATTGTCTTACTAGAACAACATATTCTATATTTACATTATTTTGGTATCTTTAATTTTTTTATTATATTAAGCTTCACCACCCAAAGTTAATGTTTATATGAGTTTTTAGAAAAGCTTCAAATTATAATTGCTTCGGCAACTTGAAAGCATAAAAATCTATTATGTAAATATCAATTTTATTTTACACACAAGTAAAACGAAGTTCTCCAAACGATTAGAAGAATAAACCGGTGTGGCCGTACTAATATTTGCTGTACAATTGACAAAAGGTTATTCTATTAACTAATACATGTACATTTTCCTTTTTACATTTAAATATAATATATATAAACATATAATTTTTTTATTAGGTGATTGTTAGTTTCCTAAGTTATACAGAAACTATCTTTTTTCTACCTGCTCCTATTGTATTACCCAACTACCTTCCAACCTAACGCAATAATACTCCACTGTCCCTGATATGTTAGAGCTTTACTAAATGCATATAAGTATCTTTTACTATTATCATCTTTTATCTTCATTCAATCGTTAGTATATGATCTTTTATTGTGATTACATGAAACTTTCTCTAATCAAAGGCAGTAAAAAAAATTTTTTTCAGTTTCTCGGTGCACTCGATTCTGCGTAAAATAGTCCAATTCCATCAAGAGACTTTCGGAAGACTGTCTTTAAATTCCCTAGTTCAACCGCTGTTGGACATTCGATGAAGCGTTCAATGATACCCACATGGATGCACAAGAGAGGGGAAAATCAGGCTAGCGTGTTTCCGTGATCAATAATGACGCACTAAGGACATACTTTGACGCAATGATGTCCAGCTCTCTCTTTCTCTCCTCTTCAAAATTCACGAGTAGGAGGGAAATTGTGTACTTTCTGATTTTTTTTTTTCTTTTCTTGTAAGCAGGGTAATTTTAAAACCAAATGATGAAAATGGTTGTCCGAACTTAAAACAAAAAAATAATTGTACATCATTTGCTTGTCCTTCGCTTTTTATTCGCGTGTCTCTGAAGTTTGCCCAAGAGAAAGGGTACCAAAGTGACCCATCTCTTTTGTTTGCGTGCACACGCGTGGTACAGGATCATTCAGACGAAAGAAAAAAATTACACAATGACGAATACACTTGAAATACTTTGACGTTTCTCTCGTCATTGGCTCGTACTGATGATCGCTGATTCAACGCTTCTCATGTTAATTTTTGAAAAGTAGAACCGCGATCAATGAAACAGGATGTCTGATAAATGTAAGCTGTTGCCTTTCTCTCGGCGTCTCGAGTCGATTCGATGGCGTAAAAATGAATTTTCATTCAAAAGCTGCTTGCACAGTATGACTCGTGCGTTGGTATCAGAAGTGAAAGAAAAGGGGGAGCGTGCAGTGCTTAAGAAATTAGTCAAATATTGCCACAATTCAGCTAATAGAGAACTTATCCACTTTAGAAAGATATTTATGAAGGTATACAAAAAAGCCTAGAAGCTAAATAAGCTATATATTTACTTCTCTGACTACCATCCCCCTGAAAAAAAGAAAAAAGAAAGAAATCCTTTTTTTTCGTTCAACTAAGCGCTTCTCTCAAGTTTTTCTCTATCCCTACGACTTCACTTACACCTAAAGGGCATCAGCTTACGCATGCAATTCCTTTCCTATCGCCCAAGCCTAATTTACGGCATTGTGTTACAGAGAATTACGAATGAGAATAAAAAAGTGGGTAAGGCGCCCTTTTTTTCTGTCTCTTGGTCGTCAGAGGAGGAGTACATACAAGGGGAAGAAACGTGCCTCAAAAGTTTCGTAAACTCTTCTTCCTGGCTGCCTGGCCTTTCCTATTACATACGAGTTGCTCAGCTATACGTATACGTGTATACGGGCAGTGTTGGCAGCGATGCCACCATAACGGCTCCGATTTAACTTGCCTGTTGTCCTATTGTGCCCCCATACCTACTTTTGATTGGAAATTTATTATCATCTCTTTTGTTTTTTTGCATACTTGCATCATTTCAAATGCTTTTAATTAACGGTTATCGTGCACTTCTCTTCATTCGTTTGTAGATCATACCCATGATCAATTAGTTTTTTTTTTTTATCACTGTTGCTGTTGTTATTTCACACGAGCTCTGATGAGGTGGGCATTGTAGATTTGATCCTTATATTGATGCTGTTTAGTTGAAATAGTGAAGTCTAGTAAAATCTTGTCTTCTATAATTTTTTTAATCAACGGGACAGGTGGTTTCAATTCGTAAACTTTAACGCAAGAAAATCAATGCCACGACTTTCTAAAACTTGTAATGAATTTTGTCGAGTAAGTTTTCAACGGCCGTAGGCTCAAAGTAAAATATTTTACATAATCCCATTTGAGGTGAGAATCGAGTGATTAAAAATACAAAAAGTAAGTACTAAAAATGGGGAAGGAATGATGGTGGTGGACCAAAAAGCTGATCAAAACTTGTAATGAATTTTCATAAGAAAATTTCCATAAAAGTGTAAGCTTCTATTAAGAGCATTTTCGTACGACGTGACCAATTCGCTCCTAGCTTTTCTCCTCTCTAGATGTATATATGTGTATAGTACTTCCTCTGTGACTACCAAGATCTCTATGATAATCAAACAATATTTTATGAACTTTTTATAAAAGTTTGGATATATACAATGAAAGATATTTAAAGTACCCTGTAAAGCATGAATGACTGTAAGAGAAATACTGTAAAATCGCTTTCATTTTCCATCCTTTCTTTTCTGACTTTTTTACTTTTTCCACGACTCATTGTGTTTGCATACTTTTACGTGATTTTGCTTTTTTGGTTTTTTGTTTACTTCCATAAAGAAAAAATGTTATATAGTTATTGCTGGTAAGGCCAACGAAATAAAAACAAATACGTTCATTTTTTTATTATAAGCAGATTATCACAATTCTCTAGTAATTTGTTAGTTATCAATAATCTTACCTCAATGTATATTAATTCACATGGTTGAAATTCTTAATACGTTCTCTCATTTGCAGATATATCTTATTGCATACGTACTTGTGATTTTTAGGTTACTTACTATCAATAAGTCCAATGCTGATTTTTAGTACATCTCCAGAAAGAGATGTGCTAACTTTTTCAGTACAAATGACAGAAAGTATGTCCTGAGCTTATGAATTTATAAAAATTTTATATTTTATATAAGCCCATCCGTAATTTTTCTTCAACTCTGGGATTCACTAGCCCACAATTATCCAACCAATTTTTTTCAAGTGTTTTAATCGGTAACACACAT